GAAAAGTTGACAAGATATATATTGTACGTGTCTAGTCTAGAAGGGGAAAAGATTAATTAAAAAGTCATCCAAATCCTTATATCGTGCGTTAAACAAAACGGAAATTGGAGAGGGACCTTTTAGAGGTTAGTCATCTCATTCCCCACTTTAAAAAAAAATAAACTTTTGAGACTATATTTGGATGTTATCTTTTCCCAATATTTGTATTAGCCTTCCCTTGAAAACTTATTCTGACTACCTTACATAGCTATCTTGTTGTAGTTCTGTGGGAAGATTGTAGCTATAAACAACACGACTTGAGTGTTGAGTGAAACAGGATTAGAACTGGGAGAATCTTATAAAGTTTTGTACTCTTTTGCAATAATTAGTTGTAGAATGAATAACCTGATGACTAGTGATGTAAAACTCAGGGAAAGAACAGACAGGACACATGAGGTTAATGGTTTATGATAAAAAGCGAGATGAAGTGGCTTTTTGTAAGTAGTCCTTTGTTCCTTTATCTTAAAGCAAAGGCGTACGAGAAAAGCGCCATCTGTTAAATCTTTTCCTTGGGCAAATACGTGTCTCTGACAAAAAAAGGAATATGTCCTGCCGTAAGAGAACGACTTTTAAAATTTGGAGGCGAACTAGTAATGGTTAGGGCGAACTCTTTTTTCGTCAGGGACTGAATTCGTAAAGGTGGTAGGTGGCGAGAATGCAATGGAGCGAAACCTCCAGATGCCAAAAATGGCCTAACCCGGCGCTACATCTGACGTCATGCAATTTACCATAGCGACCAACTTCATGTTTTGATTCATGTTCATTTCAAGAGCTTCGATAAGACCTTTACATCTGTTTCCAGCTCACTCAAACTCACGGTAAAAGAATCTAATCTATGCAATCGCCAACGACTGCTGTCAAAGTGGAACCTGATTGATTTACTATTGCGAAGTAAAAACATCTGGATCGTCTTCCAAGTCTTTGACCAATATTCCAGCCGTTCCGTCATTTTCCAGATCAACGCCTGTTTCCCGAATTCATCTCTGGAAATCTACGGAGTCGTAGGCATTGCTTGTGGCTGCGACATCTTCAACTGCAATTCGCTTTCGAAACATTCCTTCCAATAAGGTTTTAGCGACCAAACGAATTTCTCTAATGCGCCAAAAACATAGCAGTGGGTTTACCGTTGAATTGATTAACACGATGAGTAATCCTAATTCTGTAGCGTTTTGCAGTATTTTAGTAGTGTGGCCGTAAATAATCCTTATTAAAAGTGCGAGCCATACCGGAAAATAAGCAAACAAAAGAGCACAGTAAATGTATAACATATTCGTTACAGATTTTCTGTAAGAGAAAATGTTCATTGAATCCTTGCGCGAATAGGTCATGCACCAGTTTTGTTGCCTTTGAAGAACAGTGTAAATTTGAATAAAAACAACTAATGTTGCCAGAAAGCTTAAAGGGATGATAATCGTCACCAACAGAAAATAAACTTTTGGGTGGAGAAGAAACGCTGCTGACCACGGAAAAGATATCGTCCATATTATTGTCACCACAATGAGCACTCGTTTGAATGTGACTACCCTACGGTATCGTAGTTTTAAATACAACGCCAGAAATTTGTCTAGGCTTATGAACACCATGGTCAGTAGCGAAACAAGAGAGAGATGCCCGGAAGAGAAATCGTAGATAAAGCCGACGACACATGCAGCAAGTTCGTTCTGAAGTAACTTGTGCAGTGCAAAGGAAGGTTGAACAATGAATCCCACAAAAAAATCCGACAATGCTAAGCTGCACAGAAGTATTTTAGATGGCCGACCCATCGAAGGTGCTCGTTTAATAGAGAGTAAAACCAAAGCGTTTCCAAAAATTGCAGTTAAACAGAATGCCCAGTTTAAACTCGCGGTTATAAGTCCAAAAATGTCTAAAACATCTGTGACGTGGTAAAAATCGCAGATGTGAAAATTGTGCTCCATGTTTTGGGCCGGCGCTGTTGTTGAATTTTCCATACCTGATAGCGGAAGTACAAAGCTTGCGCGAATATCTCTTTGATAAACTTATCACAATCAGTTCGCGATGTAAGTCTTCCTTTGTTGCCGCAAGGAGGGAAAATTAATGAGAAAATATTGTGCAGCTAGAGGTGTATTTTCCGCTCGCTCATCTTGTTTAAAGAACGTGACAGGAATTCATATTGCTTTGACACGGTTTTGCTTCCCACACTGATTTGTTTCAGATTCACTTGCCGCTGCACCTGGATAAGTATTTACTATGCGGCGTTTGCAAGCAAACAAAAATGATTTTTTTCTGCACTCTTTTTAATTATCAGTGATAGATACACATGGCAGTATCCCTCGTGAAACCATGAATGCCTTTTATTTACTTAAGTCAGTTACCTCTTGAACAGTCAGTGGTTTCTTCGCACAAAATACTCCCAATAGACGAAAAGAGATTATTGTAACAATTTGGAATGAACAAGAAAAACAAATCTTTGTTTCTAAAGCAATTATTAATGCGCTTTTTTTTTCATTATTTTTTCGCCCCCAGCTAAGATTACCCTTGCTAGCGATCATCACGCATAAAGGACGGTAGTTCGCATATTCTCTGTTCTGCCATAGCTAAGGATTCGAATAAGGGCCAACCGGAATTTGAAATGAGCGCTTTGCATACAGCTATAGGATTAAAAAATTCCGAAATCGTTTTATATAGAGTTAAGTTTATGCACTTTATAGCTTTTCAAACCATTGATTTCCCAAGAAAGACAATATAAAACACAAATCATTTTTGGGAAATAAATTCCTTGATTGAGACTATTGGAGGAAAGAACGAACCAAAAGGGGCACGTGCTGTACTTTATTTTATTTCAATATTCCAATATTTCATCTGAGTATTACACAGTTCAAATCAAGCCTCCATGCAAAGTACATTAAACCGCAACTGAGAATGTATTCCGCCATTTTGATCCTGTGCTCCATTGACACCGAAGCTTAAACATTTTTCGAGCTGTTTTGTTAGATACGGTTTATAATTTTTTTTCTACACAGGAGCTGCTTAAACGGATGTTTGTCGACTTCAAATTTAGCATTTAAAATACAAGTTAGCGATTACTTGAATCCTATCAAAAGTTTTCTTTTTTCAGTTCTCTGTTTATGATTTTCATACAGTTAAACCCGGTTTAACTAAATATGTTTTTTTTGGTGTGATTGGGGTATAAGATTCATTGAAATTCTTGTTTCATTATCATCGCGAATGGGTGAAAGGTCGAGTAAACTTCTTGAATTAATCAGCTAAGTGATTTATTTCCCAAAATTTCCAACATTTTCAGCTCAAAGTCAATTCACTCTACAGGAAAAAAATGTTTGCTTAAGGAAGGTCGCGATCCATAATTACCATCAGTTTGTTGCGCACTATGCCATTAAAACTCGTTTTCCATAGGAATGCTCTCACCATAAATTACATTTTTTCTGCTCTCATTTACGATCGTGCACTTGGAGTAAACTTTAAAGACTGTCAGAAAGCTGTATCGAGTACTCATCAAGTCTTGCGCATTCACCGAAAGCTATCAGCATTCCATTCTTTGCATGGCACTTAGTACACTTAGTTAAAGTGTATCTTGATCAGTAATGAAGTTGGAGGGTATTTACCCTCTATGTATATCGAGTTTACTGTAATTTTAAGATTGGATAAAGCTGAAATTTCCGGCCAAATTTCAAAACTTTCCTCGGTAATTTTCTACCGCAAAAGACATGTTATGTACTGTTAACTTCTTATTGCGGGCTCTCTCTATTTCCTGTTTCACTTTCAGCTGGCCCAAGGACTTCCACAAATGTCATTGTTCTTACATGGTGCATTGTATCTTCACTTGGGGTCGGTGCTCCGTTTTCAACTCTAATCGGTCTTAAACACTTAAAAATAAACGGTAGCACTTCACATGCGGCTGACCGAAGCTCCTTTATCCTCCACAAATACACCACAGGATTCACAGTCGAATTCAGGAATATAAAAGTTAGTGTTAATTGTGTAGCTTTTCGGATCGCTATTGTAGAATCTCCAGTTGTTACTCTTATCAGCATCACGAGCCAGGCCGGAAAATAGGCGACAACTTGAGCACAATACACATATAACATGCTGCGAACTGATTTCTTGTATCGTAAGATGTGAACTTGCCCCTCAGCCTGGACCGATGGTTTTGTGTAGGCTGTTCGCGTTCGCTGCCGTTGAAGAACGAAGCGGATTTTTGCAAAAGCGATAAAAGAGCATAAAAAACACACGGGTATAACAATCAACACAGACACACAATAAGTCGGGAGGCTCACAAAGAAAGAAATCGCCCACGGAATAGCAAGAACCCAGATTAATGCCACAACACGGATTGAGCGTTTCTCTGTCACCACGATGCGGTATCTCAGCTTGAGTTGAGCGGCCATGCATTTGTCAATGCTTATCGCCATCATAGTGAGAAAGGAAGCGATAGAAAGGTGTCCCGAAACCACATCGAATAGAACACCAACAACACAACGTACTAATCTACCTTCAAGTAGAATTTTCATCGCAAATAGCGGTTCCGCCAACAAGCCAACGCCCAGATCTGCAAATGCGAGGCTGCTAAGGAGAATTTTGGTCGGGAGCCATAGAGCTGTTGTCCTCCGAATCGCAACAAGGACCAAGGTGTTCCCGAGCATTGCCGACACTGACAGAACCATGTTGATGGCAACGGTGAAAACATCAACAATGTCGACCTCAACTTTGACATAAAAATCACAAACATGAAGAGATTGTGAATTGATAGAGTTGGTAGTATTGTTCATAGCGAGAGAAAACAGTTTTAGTGCTTTTTTTCTTGTTTCCTTTACATTGAAGTTGAACTGCTGATGGTTGGGTCGCTTTTCACAAAAAAAATCCGCTCTGGAGCGCAGTGTTTACAAGAGGGGACGAAATAAAGGGGAGATGCCAGACGATAAATGCGATATTACAAATATTGCCTAAAGTGCACTTGGCTCCAATGGAGGTAAAACGCAAACGAAATTTATTTGCGCAAACGGAAAAAAAACTCCTCAGACTACAAAAGAGGAAGTCAATTTTAAAATTGTTGATGATTGGAGCGGTCTTTGTTCGTAATTGCAAAAGAGGTGTTGGGCTGTTAGTGGGTCTAGCACCTTTTTTAATATACAGTCGGAAGCACCTGAGTTTGGGACAACAGTATTCATTACCGAGAAAACTGAAATATCGAGTGTCGGCCAATCTTTACGCGAACTGAGAGCAAAAAATAAGAAGTTGAAAAAAAATCATTTCTTTCTTAGTGCGCTCGCCGGCAATCGCTCGCTTGAGGGAATTGAAGGGGTAAAGTGCATGGATGTCGTCTTCATTTCCTTCGCCCACTCGATTCGTTCTAAGAGTACCTAATTCTCTTCCCTGATAACGTTTGTTTAACAACTGGCCCGTTGCAACTGCTGGTCTAACCAACTAAAATTGAGGACTTCTAACCACAGTACATGACATTTTATTTCAAAATTCTGAAGTAGGCTGTTCACAGTCATTTTACAAAAAATTTTACTCTATTTGACTCTCTATACCCGTGTTTTTCTACATGTTAACTTTTAATTCGCATACAAAAATAGCCTCATCTTGGGTAATTCATGACCGGAAAGTTGCTAAATCCGGAGCAGATTAAGTGTCAGGCGGTTTGTTTAGTGAGGTTGAATGAACGAACAGAATGGGAAAACCGCCCGGAGAAAGACCGGAGCCAAACCAACGGCGGTTTGGTAGGAACGATAAGTAATGAGGCTTCTTGCCGCTTTCGGTTAGGATCACTTCTATTTAATGAGATTCGTGCGGCCTCTTATGAGATCTCAAAGAATAACACCATCAACTCTTTTGGAAATGGATCATTTTATATTTGTAAACTGGTAACAAACGTGTGAAAAAAATTCAGACCAATTTTTCTCTCTCATGCTTTAAGTTCGTCGTGTGAACATTCTTTCTCTCACTTCAGTGATCCATTTTTTTTTTCTTCCAAACAAACTACAGGAAGCTGAAAATTCTCCATCATTCCCAAATAAACAGAGCCGCTATCTTCTTTTACAAAACCAAGCGCACAGTAGGTCACGAAGTTCTTATCCAATGATTTGCAATAAAAAGATCAAACTAAAAATTTCAGCAGGAACTTTTTATCAGCATGCCAGAATTCATGGTTTTTCTATAAGGCAGCTAAATCACTGCAAAGAATCCAAAAAGGCCACACGAACAATGTACGAAATAATTAGTCTTCCCTTTCATAGGCTTAATTATCAAAGATAAATCCCTACAAATTATTTAGTCCTACCCTTTACGTGTAAACCATCGATCAGCTACAATTCATTTCAAATAAAAGTAGCTTTGAATTACATGTATTCTATGGCGATATCACAACGAGGCTTAAGAAATAAAAACTAGAAACATAAAAGGAAAAGTTTAAAACAATAATATATCAAACTAATTAAAGATATGCTTAAAATAGTTTTTCCATTTACCCTCTCCACAACAATGTTAAATTTAGCTAATTACAATCTTAAAACAGAAGACGGTTGCTTTGATTCACATTTGGAAGTGTCATTTTGAATGTCTAAAAAATAAGTACACGCTATTGTCTACAGGTAACAACTTATCCATGAATAAATAAAATAACAATTCAGTGGGATCCTGGCGAAAGCGAATTCTGTGAAATACTTTGAGTGAAAACAATTCTTCTTGACTTGCACCAGATCACTCGTTAAATCCGGCCATAATTAACTGAAACGAATAATAATAATAAAAAACGTTAAAATAAATGCAAACTTAATGGCCAACATGGCTGATGGTTTATCTGATGCCCGATGAAAATAATAGCACTGAAGCCACGAAAACGGAAAATGGAGCTTCGAGTGACAACCTGCGTGAAGCCGAACAAATACGAGAGTGCCTCTACAAAGAGCTAGGCAAGTTTAAGAAGCTCGCTATTTCAAGCCTTACACTCCAGAGATTTAAATATAAATTCTCCCTACAGTCCTTCATGTATTTCTCGTGATTTAAGGTCTGAAAATTTGGTTTAAAATCAAGCAATATCCCCTTGATGATAATCCTTTTTCTTCTGGTCACCCCTCTTTATTACAATTTTCTGATGTAAAGGGAAGCTCCTTTTTGTTCACTCCTGGAAGCGACAGAGTAAACCAACCACACCGAAATCTCTACATCAGCCACACAAGTTTAGCACCCTTGTGGAAAGATCTGGATCAATTTCAGTATCTGAGCACCAGGCCCCTATACCAAGTTAGGGTTAATTTTGGTCAGGGGTGGGGTAGGGGCGCAGTTGCTCAGATACTGACGTTGATCAAAACATATAAAGTCAAGCAAACTTCACCTGGTTGACTAAAACACGTGAAATCTCTGCGATTAAAAATCTTTAAACGGCTCCAGAAGCTTGCCACTAAGAGGTGGGGCTGATCTCCAGTTTTCCTCTGGGTAATCATCAAAATTCCTAGTGTCCCCTGGATGAGATAGCTTAGGTATAATGGGAGCCTAGGTGAATACCAAAGGAAGTCTGTTAGATCACCGTACAAGTTTCACCACGAAGAATACTTTGCGTCACTTAGAGATAAGTAAACTGTAGGTTGAAAGCCAGTAAATCAGTGATGGATCCATACCTTGAAGTGCGGGGAGGTAAGGAAACGGGTCTCAAAAATAAAGTACCCGGGGGAATTTTAGGCTCTCCGGCATCCCGCGCATTTGATTCGTCAATAACAGCATTTAATCTCCAATGTGATTGGATATAACAAAACAACTATCTCAGACAAATTTTAGGTGTATAAGGTTTTCTTTGTTTGCCAGTTACTACAACCAAATCTTTACTCACCTTGAGCTTTCTTTGATAAACTAAATTCCAATCTATCACTTTGAACCATTTGTGACTCTTCACATCTTCTGTTCCATTCTGAAACAAACCACCATTATTCAGGGTTTAAAGTTGTTTAATTAATAATCATCGTGCATATTACGCTATTTTAGCACTAAACTCTGTTGACACAATTAATAGGTCACAAAAATTACTTGTTATCTGTAGAGGACAGTAAAGGGGCCAAAGTAAGCTAAAAATTAGAAGATTGAAAAATTGCATAATGATAAACTTGAAAAAAAAAACAAATAAAAAAAACACAAATAGAGCACAAGACGTTTAGTTTCCGTTCAATATGGAAGAAGAATTAAAGGCAGAAAGAGAATAATGCAGTCAATCATTCATCAATCACACAACTCAATCAATTAATTTATCAATATTTTATGTTGTATCCTGGGACGAGAGACTGTGACCAGGTTGTGCCTGGCCCAGCCCTCCTTGTTCAAAAGTCAATATATGCACTCACTTTTCGTTCACAATCGTAAGACCGTACAAGGAAAACAAATACAGACAGTCTAAAAGAGTCAGCCTGACTTTTTTTTTTTCATGTTATCATTTAAAGCAGTTGATATTATTGTTTTTCATTGTATGGCTGAATTTTGCTACAGTTAACATTGTTGCAACATCTCTAATGAAACAGATCAACCTACAATAGGTATCTGAGGTATTGCTATGAGAATTTAAGATCGCACAAAGGTAATTTACTTACACCTCTAGCCAAACATTAAATCATTATGTACCTTCATACTTCCCAATCTTCTTGTTCTGTCATGGACTAATAGCTTTTTAATCAAGTCTCTGTATAAGCACAAAGAAAAACAGAAAATATTCAATTAGACATAACATTCATAGCAATTGTTACTATTAGGACAATGAGAAAAAAAATGAAAGGTTGAAATTAGACCACGTCTTAACCCTCTCACTCCCAAGATCTTATTGGTAATTCTCCTTACTATCTGCCATACAATTCTTATGACGTCAGTTCAGAGAATTTGGTTTGGATCAACTAATAATCCCATAATTGATATTTTCTTCATTCTCATCACCTACCTGCTCGATATTATATTATTGTCGGGAGAATTACTGTCTTGATCACATGCGGGAGTGAAAGGGTCAAACATGTAAATTCTAGAAATAAACCTCAGTCACCACTTAAGCATAATAAACTTAACCCTTTAACTCCCAAGATCTCATTAGTAATTCTCCTTACTGTCTGCCATATAATTCATATGGTGCTAGTTTGGAGAATTTGGAATTGGATCAACCAATAATCCACTAGATGGTACTTTTCTTTATTCTCATTACTTGTCTGCTTGATATTATATAGATTGTGTGAGTAGAAATTCTGTCAAGGTCACTAGTGGGACTTAGAGGGTTAATCTAACTTGTGACCTGCTCCCTTCCCCTGTTTCCCATCCACATGCATGTTAGCAATTCAAACGCTGATCTCCCTTGCACTTCTTTCTAGCATGTCCCAAAGGAGGATTAAAGAGAACTATATTTAAAATCAAACACCGCAGGAAAATCTCTCTCCATGTGTTGAATTCCTGAGGTTATGGATTAAGTTTAATCTTGTAACAATTTCAGCATCTTTCAGTCTAAATCTGTGGGTGTGCAAGTCGTGCACGCATACAGCTGGGATGACAAAATTTTTCTTTAAGAAGGAAATATATCTTACTTTGCCGCTGTAGTTTCCATGTGTTTTGGCCATTCTACCTTTCCTGATAGTATTTTCTCATAGATGCCAAATGGGTTGTCATCGAAAAATGGGGGATACCTGAAACCAATCAGATTTTTAGTAACAGTCATGTCAGTCTTGTTCAATAATTTAACCTAAAAAATACTAAAATACCCACACTCACAGATGGCTCCAGACAATTTTCTGTTAGATTTGTGAAGCAGATTGGAATTCCCTTTAAAGATGTTAAAGCATGTGCATATTATTTATACAATGCTGAATTAAGATGAATTCCATGTAACATTTTGTGAAAGTCAGCTTTATGAAATATATTCATACTGGAGGGAATGTACTCCATGTACCTAATTGGGTTTGAAGCAAGATGTCACTGCAGGAGATCCAAATCTGTTTCAAATTTTTCCTGTTCATTTTTATTAAGGATTCTGCACCTATTTATTTCCAAAATAGAATCAATTAAGACCACCCCTGAGACACATGTCACAACATGCAAGATTTAAAAAAAACTAACAATACACAAAAATAAACAGATTTAAAATATCTTGACCTTATTTGTGTAAAATCTTGAATAGACAGTTTTTTAAGTCTGGAAAGTTAAGACCCTGGCACCTAATGGGACTTAATTTTGAGTCTGAGCTCCAGTTGTGTACATGGACAGCTTTCAGCCAATTTGTGCTTTATTCCTTAACAGTCTCCTGCAGTTCTTAAATTAGTTTTGTAAATGTGAAAAACCTAACAGAATCTTGACTACACTAATGATGAAGGCTTTTTTCAATCACCCTTTAACCCCAATGAGATTGAAACTAGCATTGATTTTCTCCATACATAGTCCCTCTTGAAATAAAAATTTGAGGTTGTGAGAATACAGGAAATGACCAACCACTCCTCAAGCTCTTGATTGTTAAACAAATTCTCCTTGTCAACACCATAGGAAATGTATATAGAAAAGAACAGAGAATATGCATACTGATCTTAGGTAACAGAAAGGGTTAAGTTTTGAATTAATAGTGACTGCATGTTTCCAATAAGTAGACCATGTGGCGTATCAAATTTTCATAGACTTTGCCCAACACATAGATCATTTTTTAAGCCAAATGGTGCAAACTTTTGTATGCAAAATTCTCCTAAATTTCATGGCGGGAGGGTTTTTTAATCTAAAACCATCTGAACTGTTTGAAATTTTTCTTAGAATTAAGATTAAATTTATTAATCAGTGACAAAGGTAAACCAAGATAAAAGAAATTTCAACAGGTGTGGATTAACTTATGACCTTGAAAAAAGTATTTCAGCGGCTAACCACTAAGCTTGAGGAGGTTACACAGATAGCAGGGCTTAATTAAATACTTTTGTTTCATTGCATAAAACAAGCAACAAACTCTGGCATACCCCCTCCATAATAAAGTATGGATATAAATACAGTTTTGCGCAATGTATAACACAAAGGAAGATGGCAGGTTTAAACCAAAATTTTCACATGAATGACCAATTTTTCCTCTGTGAAGCAGAAGCCACCATACTTGAAAAACTGTAATTCTCAGACAGAGCATCAAACAGAAATTGATC